TAGACCATCCATTGATCCATTGATATTGGTGACACGATTAGGTCGAGTTCTGGTACTAAACTGGCTTTGTACTACTTTGTACCCACGAACTCACCCTATTAGCGATGTTCCAATCGTTGGAATTTCTTGAGGAGGTTTTGTTGCTTCTAGCTGTATCTTCATATTTATTACCGTATCGTTCTGCGATACATTATTCATCTATAAAAGAAAAAGCTAAAGAAAATTTCGACGATAAAACTTCTATAGAATAATGTTTATTTTTCTATTTATAGTAAAGTTTCTCCTTCACAAAAAAGAAAATATTACTTGTTCTAATTTCTCCAGATGCCATTGTAAGATATTTTATATCCTGATATCTTAAGCTTCCGAGGTGTGGGGAAATACTTGACCTGGCTTCCGATTTGGTGTCGCGTCTTTCGTGTATTTGTTTACGACGTTTCATGAACTTTCACTTCTTCAAGAGGAGAAACGACCTGAAACTGACACGTTTTAATCTTTCAGTAAACACGAGTCTTTCTTTTTGTCTCATTTTAGGCATTGATTTATCATTGTAGATTGTATATTCTGCCAAGAGGTATGATTTTTTTGGAAATATACAGGCTGGTAACTTACAATGGAACCACAATGTACAGGTAGATTAGGTAGATTTTTTGCTCAGATAGAACAAAAAATCCTGTACTATGTTGCAGGTGATCAGTAAAAAATTTTGAGTTATTACTCCAAGAAAATTCGTGAATGATCACGCGCCATACGATAAATGAACTGTGATGGTGACGTCTGCCGCTATATACTATTTATAATATATATTAAATTAACTGAACAAAAAAGTTCTTTACCATTTTTCCAAATGACTACGTACGTGTTTAGTTATTAATTAAAGAAGATAGGTATACAGTTGTGCACATTAATGCATTAATCAATCTTCTTTAATTAATAACTAAACATCTACATTATTTGAAATGCCAATGTCAATGAAAAAGTCATTAGTAAGTTAATAGACACATTAGTAAGTTAATAGAACATACACTAGAACAATGTAGTTTTCTCCGTTTCCAGATTATATGTCTCAACTTCTAACCCTTTTTATCGTTATGTCGCGTTGCGTGTGGTAAAATGCGCCGAATTGACGACGCGATGATTCGAACCATCAGTCCTAAAACAACATCCTCCCCTCGCGCTACCATTGTACTGCATTCTCGTGCAAAGCGAAATCCGCAGTACCGCGACCGACGAGGCGGACAATTGTATTTTGATTCCGGTCCCATTACCAGCCGTTTAGGCGCGCGTTTGCCTTCTTGACAAAGCGACTCGAATCTCTTACTCGAGTCCGCGAAACTTTTCCCCTTGTGAGTGCGCGGCGCAGAACGGAGAAACGGCACAGCTATTGTCGGAGTCTGTATACTCCCCTTCACCCCTGCCCGCGGGACAGTTACGCAGATGATCTCCTCTCCCGACATATTGCGCCAAAGCCAAAACGACGCACGGTCCGACGAGCATTCGTCCGCGTCGGGTCTACCTCGACCTCAGGGCGGCGAACTAAGTCGAGGGTGCAGACACACGGAATTTGGGCGGCACGTCTCTATCTGCACAAAAAATTCTTCCTTTCGTCGCGCGCGCACTTATGGCTTATAGTTCCTAATGTTTGAAAAGAGATTACGAAGACACGTTGTGAAACATGCACACAAATATTCGCATCTGCGACAAAAGGAACAAACGAGTTCCGCTGTTGTTGATTCATTAACGCAAAATCTACGTAAATATAATTCAAAAGGATCAGACAAACCTGCAATAATGCCTTCCATTTTTGGCTAAGGTATTTTGGCTCGTGCGCATTGTATCTATAGATTTTTGTATCGTGACACTATTGATTGAAGAATCAACCAATTCCCTTCGGGCAGACAATTGGATAAAGAATCAACAACTCAGTCACATTAAATGTAATGGTAATATATACACAGTGAATGCATATGTTGCTCGCCCAATAATAACTCTTCCCATAAAGATTAGAGAGCCTCTGCATACACTGAGAGAAAAATTATCTTAAAATCAACAAATATTTTCTTAATGGGTGCCATTAACATATTTACTTAAATCAAATATTGTTTACTTGATTTAAATAAACAATAGTAGAATGATTATTAAGATCATCACGCGCGCGCGATTCATTAGGTTCATTGAGGTGTCCCGTGTGCCTCTCGTTCGCGACGCGCCCCAAAGATACACCTGGTGTAATCTATAAAGATAGCATCGAGTCGAGAGTGGGGCCTCTCCCGATGACGAGGGGAAGCGCGATATACCATCGAGAGATCCAATCTCCGCGATATTACATCGGTTATGACAGATTCCTGGCGTAATTCATCGAGTGCAGGAGCAAGAAATGCGCCTCAACCCGGTTTCGCGCACACATTAGAGGAAGGGAGAGGGGGAAAGGGTGGTGGGAGATCTCGTGGGGATCAGGGTACGAGATAATTCAAGATGGAGTCAGGGAGTCAGGCTTGGCGCATCTGCCCGGTCGCTATTATTCCACCACGTATGTGCACTGTGCCGTTTAGCGCTCAATGGCGAAACTTCAACAAAAGTCTCTCTACCTGAACCTCTTCGAGATACACGCATCAACAGATCTCAACGGCCACGTTGAGAGAAAGATTTCATTGCGGTGGTAAACAACGTCCACCTACGACCTACGACTTTGAGGAACGACGGATTATTAGCACGTAGCATATACTTTAACATGTTCGCTACCACAGCTTATTTGGGAAATTCTCCCCATAAACCTCGTATCTTCTTCTTTTTTCGTAAATGTTTAATTCCCGTTAGTGTCATTTAAATTTTTATCTGAGTTTAGGCCTTTGTCTGAATTGAGTTTAAACTCAAATTAAGATTTAATCAACATTCATAGAAACGTAAAATAAACTTTGTTTGACAATGAAGATGTATAAATTCTTATTCTGAACTCTTTTTTATCGACAATTAATCAAAGTAGACATATTTATGTCTACTTCTACCAATGTTGATTAAATTTTAACTCTTTTCAGACAAAGACTCAAACTTACAGGGTGCGTCAGCTAAATCCAGACAAATTTCAATTTGAATTTCTCGCCATATTTTACTTCAGCGCTGAGTTGATATTTGTGTCCGAGTTAGCTAAAACAATGTTCTGAACGAACGTAATCTCAAAATGGCTGAGCAGTCAAGATCGAGTATGGAATATAACCGAAGAGCGGCGATTATTGAAAGTCTTCGCGCTGGACGTACGCCGGCTGAAATAATTGAGTTCTTCAAATATCCGTGATCGAGAGTTCACGAAATTTCCGCTAAATATAAGGCTTCGGAGAAGTCCGAAGAAGATTCCGCAAACCCGACGAGGAAGTGCCATTTAAAGGAGAAGTCGGCAAGGACCCCGGAAGTTGTCCAAAGGACCCAAGAGCTGATCGCAGAAGATCCAAGAAATTGTTTCTCAGGAAATTGGTGACAATTTTGGGTATGAGTAAGGCTACCATGCGCCGAATCTTCCGTATATCTTCCAACAGGACGGCGCACTAGTTCACATGAATCATTTGGTCCAAAACTGGCCGTCGGATAACGTCAACATGTTTTGGAGCAAAGAGTTTTGGCCTTTGAATAATCCAGATTTAAATCCATTGGACTATTATGTGTGGAGCATGATTGAAAATTTATTAACAAGTCGAAACATCCTAATGTGGCATCTCTCCAGGCCGCTATTGAAGCAGCATCCTTCAATATGGACAAGCCGGCGTTGTAGAGAGCGTGCAATCGCTTCAGACCTAGGATTGAGGCAGTAATTGACGGCAGACGGTGATTACATTGAATAATTTTTGTCTATAACGGTTCCACAAATGGCACGCAAAAAGGTTTTTATGTAATTTTCTACGTTTGAGCAATAAATTTTGTTAAATACATTCTTTATTTTGTCCGGATTAGTTGACGCATCCTGTAGATTAAGGTTTAAACGACATTGGGAACATTTTTTTTTAAACAGGATATTTAAAAGAGAAACTAATCTGATAAAAAAGAATACGATTCTTTTTAATTTGTATAATTAAAAGTGCTCTTTTCTATGAATGCAATATTCTATGTTTACCTTTAAATGTAAAGAAAGGAAAATTTAGAGAATCGTAGTCTCTATAGTAGAGTTTGAATAATAAAATTTTCTTTTTATATAAAGATAATATTATTTAAGAATTATAAAGAGAAATACTGTGAAAAATATTTTGAGATTTAAAGATAAAAAATACACGAAATACGACTTTATTGTTGATAGTAAACTTTACATTTCTTTTTTTTCAAATATTGTTAATCAAATATTGTTTATTTAAATCAAGTAAACAATATTTGATTTAAGTAAAGAGAATGTAGATTTAAGTAAATATGTTAATGGCACCCACCAAGGAAATATTTGTTGATTTTAAGATAATTTTTCTCTCAGTGTGACGCTGGTAGCGAACGTGTTAATTGAAGCTAATGATTGAAAGATAATTGAAACTGATGGGCTTTAGACAGAGGAAGTGGACTTACATGATTCCTCCGATAGTATCAAACTTTTCCTTTCAATTACTATTGAATAATCATTAAGGCTAATTCATTAACCTTTATCCGTTCTTACGGGAGATTAGCACTTTCTTATGGGGAGAGCGATCATCACCAGTGCGAGAAAATCGTCATGCGCAACGCTCGAGGCGTGTAAAGAAGATGCTTTTCTTTCGCCTCTGGAGCGTGACTAGGGGTTCTTGCAAAGTGGTGCTTGCAGCACCACTTGTGCACTAGTAGTGGGGAGTGATGATGCAACCGCACCGTCGCGTTGGACCCCCAGGTTGGATCGCTACGGGGATAGGGGTTAGAACGAATCGTTTCCATCGCTAGATCCGCCCTTCACCGAGGGTAGGGAATCTTTCCGCCAATGGGGCTGTCGCTATACGTGTTGTACGCAGCTTCAAAACCGACGACGATCGGTGCTTGCTGCCAAAAAGTCTCGACTACGATGATTCTCAGTCATGTTTGATTGTTGAGTTAGTTAGTCTCCGCTATGCCCTTCGGTGGTATAGTGGACAGTTTACGAAGAACAAGCCGCACATGTGGAAGCGGCATCGAATAGAAGCAGTCGTGACGTGTTGTCCAGAATTTCAAGTTTACGGCAATCAGTTGTCGTGTTTCATGTCTTATTGTTGTTCAGTGATCGTTGTGCGACCTGTGATATCTGAGGATGCAGAATCAAGAGTCGCAATTGTCGCATGTACCACCACCAAAAATGCCAGCTTCATCAAGTAATTGATTTTTAACTAAATTTTAAATTAGTTAATTTAAGTAATTGATTTTTAATTAAAATTTTAAATTAGTTAATCTAATCTGGTAGATTTCAAATAATTTGGGATGATAATTTGGTCAATTTGACTTCTTAAACCCATATGTTTAAAAAAGAAAAGAAATAAAAAAAAGAAATGTAAAGTTTACTATGAACAATAAAGTCAATAAAGTCGTATTTCGTGTATTTTTTATCTTTAAATCTCAAAATATTTTTCACAGTATTTCTCTTTATAATTCTTAAATAATATTATCTTTATATAAAAGGAAAATTTTATTATTCAAACTCTACTATAGAGACTACGATTCTCTAAATTTTTCTTTCTTTATATTTAAAGGTAAACATAGAATATTGCATTCATAGAAAAGAGCACTTTTAACTATTTAAATTAAAAAGAATCATATTCTTTTTTATCAGATTAGTTTTCTCTTTTAAATGTCCTGTTTAAAAAAAAATGTTCCCCCATTGTATCGACAAATGAAAGTGAAAGGGTTAGGAACTATATATTAATTTTATCATGAAATATATAAGCATATCATATGTTACTTATAGTAATACCGATTCTCATGGTGTTTACCGCGGCATACTAATGCTATCTCGTGTGAAACAACAAACATGTGGCCTTTAAAGGTAGCGCGATTCACTGTACATTTAAACGACTCATTCCCGGGCGTAGTTCATCCATGAGAAAGTAACGCCAGATGTTTAAAACGAATTACCGTGTTCAGCTAACAGGTTGTCGCGTGTGGTTGAATCCACCGTCACTTGGTTGTCAATCAGTGCATCACTTTAGCTAATTAAAAACTAACACGCGATTGGAAACTGCACTTTAAGTTACGCAAAATTATTTAGTTTATTTCCATCATTCGTAGAAATAACTGATGCCTTTAGTACAATCACATACAGACTTAAAATTATAATTAAGCCATATTTTAGCTCTTTTCAATACAAATAAATAAACAAACAACGATAAAGTAACAATTAACGATAAAAGTCAATACAAATAAATAATTGTCTTAGTGGTGTAATAATGTAAAATGCGTTAACATGATAAAAAATCTAAGACAAATAAATAAAAACAAGCATAATGGTCGAACTTTAAATTTTTAACCAATGATTTTGGAAAGTTTTAGGACACTCTTATCTCATAAAGTTTGACTTAAGATTAAACTAATTTTTTTTTTTCATTTTTCGGAGCAATTTCTCATTCAGAACGAGTAGAAATTCAAAGCGACATTTAAAATAAGATACCAATGTCCGTATTTAATTCTAAACATTCTTGTTGTTTTGGTCTGTAATCAATAATATTTAAATTTTTAAAATAAAAAAAGATATATATATATATTGAATATATACATTTTATGTTAAAAATTTAAATATTTGTATTTAAAGATAAAAGGAATAAGAATGTTCAGTGTTTATACGTGGAAATTAGTACTTTTACTGTAACTCGAAATCGTAAATGTTTCACTCAAGTTTAGAGTTGATTCTGACTGCGTACGCGTAAACGTTTCAATTTATTAAAACGAATTATTTCCTGTCACGGTAGAATACGTCAGATTCACTCTGCAATTTTGTATAAAATATTTATTTGATGATTCAGAGAAAGAGGATTTTATGTATAAATGAAAAATCACTAAAATTCGAGTAACTCTGCTAACATTTTACTTCCGAGTGAAATTTGAAACTTCAAGACATTTGGAGAATTGCAAACCGAGAAGAAGTGCGTTGATGAGTCGTATCGACGCCACGTTACTCTGGATTAATTATATACGCGCATACGTGCGAGCGGCTGGTTCTTCACACATGTTACACATTCCCACACTCGTTTACTGCGCGCACCTGATGGTCCATGAAACGATAGAATAATGAGTAATAAATCATCTATATCCGTAGATATGTTGAATAAAGTTAGATACATTTCTAAAAATATATCTATTGAAAAAGAAATTAAAATGCTCCAAATTGAAAAAAAAAATATCCTCAACATTTTAATGTATTTTTATAAAAATTTTTCTTTTGAGAGATTATACAATCTACGATGTATTTTATTATTTTAAAATAAATACACCAGCAAATATGCCCAGTGTGATAGAAGATATTTGACAAATGTAATACATTAACAACAATTTTTAATTCCGTTTTAGCGTACGAGAAATATAAAAGTGAAACTACTATGAAATGTAAGAGAAAGTTCAACGGCGGGATCGCGAAATTGGCATCGAAACGGCGAGTCGTCGCGCTTTGTCGTCGGGCAGAAGGCGAGTCACGACGCATGTTTCGTGGTCTGGACAACTGAAATATCACCCCTGTGCAATTATATCGAGAAGTTCGTAATTTCGCACACGGGACTTCGACCGGAGGACACTTTTACGCCGCGCGTTTCGTCGCCGGTCCTCACTACGTCGTGTCGCGTCGCGTCGTGTCGTGTCGCTTCGCTTCACCGTCTCTTTTCCACCCCATGCATGCGAACGCGCACGCCGCGCTGGGGATGCGCGCGACAAACTTTTACCTGAATTTTGTGGTCACGAACACGCGTCGCCGGCGCTTTCGGCAGAGAAGGAGACCGGCGGTCGAAAAAGTGCCGTCGTCCCGGTGAATCACACCCGGCCGTGTTTGCGCCATCCCTCTCATCCCCTTCCCCCTCCTCACCCTAACTTTTCTTCATCCAACCTACCGCCCCCTCAAATTTCAGCGTTTCGCCGAGTGTCTCATGTGCGATTCATTTCGGGCGAAGTTTGTTATTTTGACGTGTATTCGGGCAACTTTCGTCGGTGCGTCGCGGTTCGAGTGAAATAATTGATACGGGGGGCGAAACACATGCTCGCGCTTTAGAGCGATACTTACGCGGCGAACGTACGATTTTACATTCCCCTCTTTCCGCGCGCGCATGAGCCACACCTCCAGCCCGGTAATGACAGTATTTTTCGCGTATATGCTCGATCGAAAACGCGAACTTGTGCGCGCATTCACGCGCCTCATCAAATATTCACGAGATTTTTACAGAAACTTTGTAAGGGGACTTCCTTTCTCCCCTCCTTCCCCCTTCTCCGTCACCCTCCTGCTCGGACGGGTAAGGCGACAGAGAGGAAGAGACTGTTTACGAAGTTACTACATAAAAATCACGTGAATAATTGATGCGGCGCGTGACGGAGGAAAGATCATCGGCGCCCGGCAAAATACAGAGCTCGACTCCATGACGATGAAAAATTCAATCGCGAATGACTCGCGAGCCGACCGTATATAAATTTCATGCAGCCGTGTGACAGCAAGTGCAGAAACGCACGTTGCGTGATTCCGACGCGCACGCCGCGTGTATGCGTGCGGCCCGCGAGTTCCGAGTTTCCCCCGGCGAGGGAAAAAGGGACATTCCTCGCCGCGCGGCGAGGGTGCGCAGCCCTGTCATTCGGCCGCAACCCGTCTGCTTTCTGCTCAAACATGTGCGCTGCACTTCGCACATTACTGTACCTCCTCGTTAATGATTTATCCTCAGGAACACTCTTTCTCTCGGTCACATCGCCTTCTGGGAGGGAGCGCCATTTAACCGTTCTTTTATAAAGAACGAGTAGGTCTGCAGCGCGGGAAACGCGATTTCACGTTATTACTGACAATCGAAGCGCATAAGAAACGGTAAAAGCGTGCAAACGGTAAAAGCGGTCATTTCGAAGGTGATACTTTTGAAACAACGAGAACTCCGAGGGCTGAAAATACCATAGATAAAAAGTACGGCACTGCGTCTGGACCGTTGAATTTTAGCAAGGTCGATGAAATTATTATGATAAAAGTCACACGTGCGTGTATCATCACAGCAGATTGGACAACAGATTGAAATATTAATTTCAGAATACAATTTCAAAAAATCGAACTGACATGATAAAACCAACTTTCTATGTAGAAGAAAAAGAATTATTGAAACTTGATTTGATCAAAAGATCTGATATCGATTTCGTGATTCTCAAACAAAACAGAGTTTCTTTGTCCTTTTTGCTTTGCGATATCTACCAGGAGGGGGAGGGCTATATAAAGCTTTAAATTTTGAACGAAATACCTCATAATTTTGTCCAGGAATATTTTTTTTCTTTAGACATTGTCACGGATGTTAAGAGTATCAACTTCCGGACACGTACCTAATCCTTAACATTATTATTGTTTTGGTCTTTAAGTACGAATATTTAAATTCCTAACATACAGTATATATATGTGTATATATACACACACACATGTACATGTATATTTGTTATGTTGGAAAATAAATCCTTATATACCTAGACATATACGTTAGACCGATAGTTTTTATAGAATTTCCTACATTCCTATATCCCTACATTCAGAATTTATTACAAGCAGTAAAAAGCTCCTTATTGTTCCTTGTGTATCTCTATATACTTTCTTGGCTTTGTATAACAATATATAGTTTACAAACGTTTCCTTTTTCGACTCTTTCCTTTTTTTAACTTTTTCTTTTTTTGACTTACACAAATTTGTTTAATGTGACACGCAGTGATACAAAAGGTAAGTTTTGGATAAAAATTATTGGAAAGTCTAATATTTAATCGATCATTAATGATTTTCTTTTAATTTACTTGTTATTATTAGATTTGGTTTCCGGGTTTGAGCCGCATGGATTCATTTTTGTTTGATTCCAACGTTTCGCGAACATTTCAGTCCGCTTTATCAGGGAGGAACGGCCCGATTTACTCGTTATATTTTACTTTACAACTCAGTCGCACAAATTTAAAAAAGTGAAGTACAAAATGATGGATAAAAAATGATTGTGTAAAATAATGAAATTCTAAGATGTGGAATATTCCTGATTTCATATAAACAGGTGAATGGAATTGTTCGAATAATGAGGATTCTAAATCGTCGAAATTTCAATAGAAAATGCTAAAATTTTTGGGAAGAGACTATTCGAGTATCCCTGGTATTGACATGAGGACCAAATATTCATATTTAAAGGTAAAAACAATAGAAATGTTCAGCATTAGATGCGTGTACGAGTATTGGTGCTTTCACCTTACGAAATCCGTTATCGTCATCAGCGTCAGGTACGCGGCCAGTCGGCGGCCAATAATCAGGTACAGATCAACAGGTTGTTGCGCGGTATTTATCGTTCGTCGTTCGCGTTTTAAGGGATTAAACGAACGTTGTCCGTGTTGTTCTTGCGCCGCTTGTCGTCAGCCATAATAAGTACTACGGTGATAGGAATAAAGAAACCGACGGGTTTGATCGAGGAAGAGATCGGGACCGATACCGAGCAAAGTGTCGTGTTTCTGGCTGCTCACTTAGGGTTGCTGAATGCGGCAGCCACATCCGGTCCATTCAGGCCCATTCACGATCTTGTCGAGCTCAATGGCGTAGGCGGAGCTCATGACAAGGAGTTGGTACCCCATTGCGAATGCGCACTCCCGCCGCCATCCACCGCGCGCCCAAGAGGCAGATCTGTGTGTCTCTCCCTTCATGTACGTGTATGTGTGTGTGTGTGTGTGCGCGCGTGTGTCGCGCGTTGTACCTACCAAGGAACTAACTCGGTGACAAATCGATCTATTCAGATTCGACGTCATTCAGCGGGCCTCGTGTTGTCGCTCGTAACGGGTTCCAACCAAAATACCAGCATTCTAGCCAGCTGAGATTAACGCGCCCCTACCATCAATTGTTATCGACAATGCCGTGCTTATTCGCCGATCGGCTACGACTCTTTCGTAGAACGCGAGAAAGTTGACGCGAAACGTAAGACAGATTGATGAAAGGATGTAGGAACGACTCTTCTCGTATCGGTTTAGTTCCCGGTCGAATCGCTGAAAACTGTCTATCAATTTGTAGGTTTGAATCGCATTGACGTTACTTTAAGTTATAACCGTCTAGAGTCCATATTAATAGTTGTTACTTGAAACCTGGCAGATGAGATACTCAAATTTTTATTCAGAGTTAGATTCAAATACTTCAGTTGAATTATGATAGGTGTGACATTTATATAGTCACACATTTATGTAATCGCGATTCAACTGAAAAAACTTTCATCTAAATTGAAATCTGATTATCTCACGTAAGACGAGTTTTAAGTAATGACTATTAATACAAACCTAAAAGTGTATTATCGTGAGCGAAGATCTCGCTGTTTTCTTTTCCTTATACTAAGAAAAAAAACGATTGATCAACCAAAATTATAGATATTTTTAGCTCCAATTATATGGTCTGGTCATTCTAGCACGCGAATGATAGCAGTAACATATATACAAGGTTATTATCACTAACATTATAATAGAATTTAATTATAAAAGTATGGTTTTCTCTCTTGGCCATTATTTATGATAATTATTTCTCCATGTAATTATAATTACAAGTAGTAAAAATTTTTTGTCAATATAAAGAAATACAGACGCAGAATGAGCTTATCGTTCGCATGAATACGATATACAATATTCTTTAAATATCTTGAAGTGAAATTTCATACTCAAAATGAGTGAAAATGATAGTATTTTCGCTCGAGGCGATAATGAAAATACTCGAAACCGTAAGAGCAAATATTTCACTTAAGATTAGAGTGGATTCTGACTGCACTGAAGGAACATTTCAATTGGTTGGAATGAATATATTTCTTTGACGGTGGAATGCATCAGACTTACTCTTCAATTTCGAGTAAAAATATTCATGCAACCATTCAAAGTGGAGAATTCACTTTATAGGAGTGAAAAATAAGTGAAATAATTCGAGTGAAATAATTCGAGTGGCTCGACTGTTACTCTACTGTTACTTTGAAATTTCATTCCAAGGATTTTAAAAACTACTAATTATTATTTTATCATGATTTTATTTGTAAGGAAAAATTACGATACACCTTGCTCAAATAATAATAAATTAACGTTATTAAACCCTTTCATTTTCATAAGGTAATACCAATAGTTACCAAACAGTTCAGTGATTTGCTTTCAGGTCGCATTCTATACGATATCCCTTGCAAGGTTTGTAGAGATCACTCATCGGGGAAGCATTACGGTATTTTTGCATGCGACGGATGCGCTGGTTTCTTCAAACGGTCGATCAGGAGAAATCGGCAATACGTGTGTAAGGCGAAATCCGAGGGGGGTTGCATGGTAGATAAAACTCATCGTAATCAATGTCGTGCTTGCAGATTAGCGAAATGTATTCAAGCCGGTATGAACAAGGATGGTAAGACATTACGAATAATTTTAATGTTTTAATACTTTGTCTTTGAGTCATTTTTTTTATATATTCTTTAAGTATTTTTAAAACACTCATATCTAACTTGTGCGTCTCCTATGGAACTTTTCTTGCTTTCTATACAAATAGTGATCTTTCCAAGTGATCATCATTTAGCATCTAGCATTAACTACAGAATTATTTTATTTTAATTATTTATATCTTCCCGTACTGCTCGTATCGAGTTTCACTATTATTGTGAATTTTTGTACTGATCTTGTTGCAGCTGTGCAACATGAACGGGGCCCGCGGAATTCGACAATTCGCAGGCAAATGGCTTTATACTACAAGGAACCCGAAATAATAGCTAACATGGCGCCGCCGACGGTAACAGCTTTGGATTTAGCTTTACCAAAACCGTCGGCCGAGTCTCGTGTTTCTGTAGCCGCACCGCCGACCCATCCTCCCTTACCGCATCCTATTTACTGTAATGCTTTGGCGATGTCGAAAGTAAATATCTCCTCATCTCGAAATCGAGATAATATCGTTGCAAAATCAAGAAAAATAACAACTGATTTTCTCCACCAGTTTCCGATAAACATGGCGAATTTCTCGACGATATCGCTGATGCCTCCGATCACCTCGGAGTCGATCTGCGAGCAAGCAGCACGGATACTCTTCTTCAACGTACACTGGACGCGGGATTTGGTGACGGGCACGAATCTCACTCTGGAAGACCAGCTGACGCTCTTAGAGTCCTCTTGGCGCGAACTTTTCTTGCTGGCCGCCGCGCAGTTAATGCCGACCCTTGACCCCACGCCGTTACTACCGCCGACTCCTCACGGCATCGAGCTGGCGGTCGAAGTGAATCGGTTTCGCGAGACCTTGGCCGGCTTTCACGGGATGAACCTGGACTTTCAGGAATTCAGCTACATCAGAGCGATAGTGCACTTCAAAGCGGGCTTGGACTGCGAGCCGGTGTCTGGCAGCCGCAACAGTAGCGGCACCAGCTCGCCGAGCGTCGCGAATCGACTCAGAAATCCAACTGCGGTAGCACGATTGAGGGACAGTGCCCAGTTGGCATTGGGACAACGGCTGAGTGGCGCTTCTTACGGCGCCCTCAGATTCGGTAAGGTACTGTTATTATTGCCCTCCTTGCGCTCCGTGTCGGCGGACGCCATCGCGGAGCTCTTCTTCAAGAGCACGATAGGCGCGATTCCGATCGAGAGGATAATATGTGACATGTACAGGGGGGTTTGAATGTGTCAGCATTCTCATAATGAAGTTTGATGAAGTTTCAGTACTCGAAACTATAAAAAGAATAAGTACACTTACGATAATTGTTATTTTTGTATTATTATGTTGAAGTAAAACTGCACGAAGTGCAGCAGATGCAATAAAACTACTTTACCGAGTAACGCCATCATTAACTTTTATCTACACAGAGAGATTTATTGAATCAAATAAAAGTTTCTTTGGAATAGTCCAAACAAATTATTTAGCACACACAACAAAAATATTTCTTTGGAACTAAGCTGCAAATAAATATTTTTATTGCTTCAAACAAAATTTTGTTCAATCAATCAAAAAATACGTTTGGACTATTCCAAAGAAGCGTTTATTTGATTCAACCAAATCGTTCTCTCTATGTACAGAATAAAGACAGAAGGAGAGAGGAAAGGAAGGAAAGGGGGAAAAGAGAGAGAGGGAGATTCAAGGCCTGACATGTAATGCCATCAAGAATTAGAAAAATAGTAAGTTATAGTAACGAAGAACAATATCAAAGGCAATATAAAATTAGAAAGATTTTCCGATTTGCATACCCCATTCTTTCTAGAATAATGTCTCACAAGAAGAAAGATGTTGTCATTATTCGATAAATTTACTATGTAGTTATTATTTATTACTTGTTGATAAATTATTTTACTTATTATAATATTGTGAATACGATTATGATAGTAATAATTATAATAATTACGTTGATTATATTGACTGTCTCCTAGTAACGGTAAATATCGACTAGCACAGGAGGTGGAATAATATTGCGAGCAGCAAGCGGCACCAGTGTCATAGGCATGATGCTGGTTCACAGATATATTCGTCGTTGCTAGGAGATAAGGAAACAAGCCAAATATGCCTCTTTGGATGACCAAGCAGAACTTGTCCCCCGCATCGCGCGTGCACCAATTGTTTTTAATTTATAACTGAATAATTGAGACTTCATTTACAAAATGATGTAAAACTTTTTTGTTCAGTTTGATGCACCCCATCTGCATAGAGCCGATGTTGTATTTAAATTTAAACGCCCTATATGTTATTAAAACAAAAAGGTATATTATATTTTTACTACATTTTCTCATAAAACCTCTTTTCCTCAATATCTCCTCTTTTGTTAATTTCAAAAGTGATGAGATGTGCAAATACTTTTTTTATCTACTGTATATATAAGCATGTACATATAAATGTAAAAAGGAATACGTAGTTTCGTTATATAATTGTCTTATTCGAATGGACTAATAATACATTCAACTAGCTGATAGATAAAGTAATACCTGGTGCACAATAAAGCACGTGTGTTAGGGTAAATCAGAAATATAAAATATGAGCATAAAAATAAAGTAAAAAAAAATTGTCGTGTGTATACATTTGGCACATATTATCGGACATGAAAGTCCCATACTTTGTGTTTTCGATACAATCCTAACATGCGCGTGTATATGCATATAAAAATAAAGCTTTAAAAAATAAAGCTTTAAAAAATATATAAATATAACAATATGCATGTTAAACGTCTCTTTTATTCATTCAATAATAACCTGACATATATATAAGTTCTTTAAGGAATAAATTTACCAGATATTTTTAAAGCGCTCAAGAGGCGTACTTTCAGTGGTGCTTCAAGGGACCTACTAATAAATTCATTGTTTATCAAACTAGAAACAATACAGGCGCGCGCTACGAGCGCGCTATTTAGCTACTAAGAAACAATAAAAAATATAAAATAAAAATAAAATAAAATTAAAATATATTTTTATTAATTAATAATTATATTAATATTAAATGAACAAGTGAAATTTTGATATAACGTATAAAAGAAATCAGATATAATTTTAATGATAATTTAACTTTGTCACTCGCGAGTCCGCCGCTGATAGCCGCAATCGATGCAATTTTTACAAGGACCGATGACAGTCGTAAATATAATAAATAACACGGCAAGAACCAATGCTGACAGCCGTGAACGATGCGATTCCTCTCTCTGTGCTATGGGCTCAGGCAAAATGTTTGCAGAACACATAAATGTATCAATATAAACAAAAGATATAATCTACCAAGCCGTTACTAACTAAATATAATTTTCTGGACATTTACTCACCTCGTGATGTAACCTTCGACCAAACTTTGTCATTCGCGAGTCCGCTACTGATAGTCGCGATTGATGTAATTCTTACAAGGACCGATGACAGTCGTGAATATAATAAATAATACAGCAAGAACCATGGCTGACAGCCGTGAAAAATTGTGTAAAATACACAACCTGATCCGTCACATGTATTTGACAGCTGTAAGCGGATTAAACCTAGCCGCATATTTTGATCGAGCCAATCGAGACAGTCGGGACGGCCAATCAGCGTCGCGGAAGAGGCTTCAAGTTTCAATACATTCGAGATTTTCGGTAACACGCACTTTTTCTGATAGGATAAGATTACGTATTTACATGTTTATTTCACTATCTAAATGATTAATGTTAATTGAAACTAATTTCATGATATTACCTTGCCATATTTTACTCAGTAAAATGTTACTCAAAATATAAAATAGCAGTTTTCCAGTCTACAATCGAGTATTATACAAAAATGGTGTAGAGAACACTATTTCTACTACGCCCCGTTTTCTAACATATAATATTTTTATAACGATGAATTTTTTCATTTGAATGGTATTATTTTTTACGAAATTATATTAGAATAATAATCACTTATATTTCTTGTTACATATATCGCAAAATTGTAATGCTCAGTATTAAGTTTCTTATAATGCAGACAACTACTTACGATGCAGACAAATCGCCTGAAACTTTAATAATGAATGCATACTTTAACGCGATAAACGTTACATTAACTTTTTGTGTAATTTTAAGCATTTTGGTTTAAATTCCTTAAATATACAACATACACTTATGCCAGAAATGCGAAATATTCTGAAAATCTTTTAAAAATTCAATGTTAAAGATCGAATTAAATTTAAATTAATATAGTACATAGGAAAACATATCAATAAATTATATATTATCACAGAAACATTTTATCTTTACATAAATAAAAACAAGAACTTTTATTTATAATATGTTTATAATATTAAGTGTACGATAGAGTAGTATCCTATGCACACTCATTCTTCTTCATTTTAGATATTAGTTAACCGGTTCATTGAACTCGGAACCAACGTTTTGTGCTAAAATTGGTGAAAACAAAAAATTCCGCATTTTACATAAAAGCTTATCTAATAAGGGTTTTTTTGGGTAACTGATTACGAATTCGAGGTCAAATTTGTCTCGTTACCGATACTTTTACTCTATGCATCCAAAACTAATATCCTTTATATCGTTCATTATATTTCCAGGGTCAAATTTTGTCTAAAGTCAATTACTAGTCGAATATATTTTTATATTGTTTCATTTTATAATTTATAATATAAAATTCATAATATTTCGCTAACTAATAACCCATACAGCATAAAATCTCTTGGGGACGTCCCACAGACTTCCTGAAGACGTAGAAATGTTCCCAGGACGTTATCAAGACGTATTCTGGACGTCTCCTGGACGTCAATTTGTGCTGTTAGGGAACGGAGTATGGAATCATACCGAATATCATACCGAGTTTGTTCCATATCTGTAATGGAATATCAAAGTTGAAGCCACCATATTGGATCCGTCATTTTAAATTTCTCAAATTTGACCTCGGATTCTTAATCAGCGATCCAAAAACCATGAGGGTAACAAGTTTTATGCAAATCCGTCTAAAACTGACGGAGATATACAGCGAACACATATATGTGTGCTTACCAGTGAACCGGTTAACTGTAAGCAGTAATAAAATATTTTGTTGTTATACTAGAAATGATTACGTATAAAACGAAATAATTATTTGCGAAGGTAAAAATTTGTAACAGTAGGATACAGAGAACCAAAACCGCTACACGGGAATCTTTACCTGACCGTCGGGAACACAATGCGTCACGTTTTACGGGAATTTTCCGGTGATTTGAGCGATAATCGGGCACACAAAGGACGCCTGCACCGATCTTCGTCGGCTGTCAATGCATTTCGAGATGTATTCCTTACCACAGTAGACCAACATGTAATCACCAGCTCGAGCAAATATTCGTTGGACTATGTAACCTGTGAAGCTGCATCGACGTCTTTGTCAACGGTCGTTTTCCACTATACACATATATATGTTGAAGATGTGCGCGCTGTTATATCTAACGATAATCCTAGATTTGATGATTCTTTCCGAGATTTGGCTTTTGTTACATCACTTCGTATTGCTAAACTTTTCCAAAAGGTTCCTTTATATTCCAATTCGTCTTGCCTTCAAAGTCCTTTTACTTTGAGGACTGCTGTCCAAATTTTATATTAAATATAGCGCGCCGCAGGTACTATCGTAAAGCAAAATCCGCAAATCTATTTGTTCAATTAGGTTGTGTCCAATTATTTTTACTTGATATAATCGTATGTAAAACAGTGTTTCACGAAATCACCACATTAGATTATTTTCCTATTTTCTTTATGTGAACGAAAAAACTGCTTGGTTTAACTAAATTCCTTTGGATTAATTAAATTTCTTTGGATTAACTAAATTTCTGATGGAATCAGATAATTAAATCGGAAAATTCCAGTTGAAATTATCAAAATTCTGTTTAATATAAAGTTTTCTACTATTTCTGTTCAAGTTAATAAGATTTCTGATAGAAGTTAGTCAAACATTTTTTCCGTGTATATATCCTTTGCTTTTTTAATATACCTATTTGCTTTTTTAATAAAATGCCTATAAATTATATGAAAAGAATCATTTACCAATTATATGAAAAGAATCATTTAACATATGGAAAACTACAGGTAGAAAATATAATTGGTCTTTACATTAATCTGATTGCGCCCGCAATTCAAATGTTCCAACTAGATTCAAATATTCAATATTCAAATATTCAATAATATTCAAACCAGATTCAACATTGAGTCTTGGCTAGTCCTGCCAGATTTACGTGTGAACCAATCATATCGCTTTTTTCATGTAGGAAGTCACAATTTATCAGTTTGCGTTTACGTTACGACGTATTCGAGAGGTACAAAAGAATATTCTCACGAAATTTGCAAGATGCGGGACACGTGGAGTATCGACGTTTGCTTCAACTGTGCCGAGTGACTCTCGTCATTCGCATGAGCGAACTCTCGAATGTTGCCACTTGTCGAAAGTAGTGTTTTCTTACCCCTAAATATGTTTCTGTCGACACACATTCTAATTCTCGCCCTTTTATCAACTCAGATTAAGTGCATGAACGTTTTACAAGAGTCAGAAAGTTCTAACAACGTACTAAAATTACTCTTGCAATTGACCAAGTATAATATTTATCAGTATAATATTTATCTCGTTTAATATTTATCATTCCTGTCTGTATTTTTCCTGACGTTTTCCTTTAGAACATCATGCGTGTGTAACTTAAACAGAATTCTGGTAACTTTGATTCGAATTTTGGTATGTGCGAAACACGTAAAGAGACGGCAAAAGTTGATCCTTTTTTTTCTTTTTTTCGCTTCCTTAAGCAGATTATACCTTTGCTTGTTTCTTTCGTTTGCAAGGGTTTCACTAAAACTCGCTTACATAAAAAATGCGACTTCTATACTTAGCTACAAAGTTTATCAGTAGTTCTAGAATAATCCCGTAGATTATTTACTCACGTAATTTGTCAGCTCACAATGCCGGTATCCAAAAATCATTCTCTGAAGTTTCCGCCACTCAATTGGACGTCACAGCTACTGCTTTTAAGTAGACCGTTCCCCACACAATCTTCTACGCATAAATCCCAATCTTACCTGGATTTTTAAAATACGCATTCGATTGTATGGTATTTGTGTCCGCACAAACTTTGTTCCTTTACCGATTTTTGTTTACTTTGCATTTTCACGCGGAAATTTCGTATTTTGAAAATCCTTTTAAGGGATTTGTCATTCCCAAGACACCTTCCTTTTACAAACAGATTGGCATGGATTAAACAGTCGACTATCTTCTCTAACGAGATTTCCAATTATCTTGTTTTTATATTTAAATTTTATTTTATATTTTAATTTTTCCTTTAATTAGTTCGTATCAAAGCTATGAGCCGTCAAGGTTTTTACATAGAGATTATTTTTTATAGTATCGTATCGTATCGTATTAAAGTCACAAAAAGTAGATGTTAACAAAAATATCTAGTATGTAAGTAACATTAGTATACTTGTAAATAAGTGCAAAATTAGCAAACAAATTTTATTAACTTTTTTTTAACGAATTCCTGTAATCCTCCTAAATTCGTAACACATTCTGCAACACACTTTGATGTTGAGATTATTATTTATGAACGAAGGAACGAGCGAGATCGTCGCAGTTGCATAATCATCGAATTTCTCGGGAGGCATGAGGGTTGCGCGAATCGTTCGGGAGAAACGATATCGCGACGCCCAATTAACATCTCGATTTAATAAAACTCTCAAGCCGCCGTATGTTACAATTTCCCGTACAAAGTGTCCGCCGGCGACAGAGAACCCGCTCGCCCTTCCTGTATTCGAAGGGGTGCTGTGC